GTTTTGCTAAGCTACAAACTGTACTGTAGCTAAGCACTTTAAAATAATATATACAATTGGCTTAGGATAAGAAAACTTTTAAACTGTATTTTTAGTTTTTAAGAAACGATGAATTAATAAAGTCGACATTTTTTTAAAAAACTCTTTACAGTATTAATAAAATTAATTGGTAGCACAGCAAGGTTATTCTTTAATTAAAAAAAGAACATTGTTTTTAATAAACACTAAAAAAAGTAATTAGTGATTGTGTTAAAACATAAAAATAAGTATCCTAATAAATGGAGAAAAATTTAATCAAATTCAAAAGTGAAAAAGTATTCTATTGAAAAGAATATTAAAATTAAAATTCAGAAGTATAAAAAGTGAATTGTGTTAAACATAAAATAAGTATCCTAATAAAAGGAGAAAAAATCGAATTCAAGCGAAATATTCTATTAAAAAGAATATTAAAATTAAAATTCAAAAAAAAACTGAACTAAAGTTTATGAAACGTGTTGAAGTATTTACGAGAAAATTTTTTAGTTCACTATAAAACAAATTATTTAGCTAAAATTTGTGTAAAAAGTATCCAAATGAACACCATTAAAAATTTTATAAATAAGTCAAAAGGATACGAAAGACTAAAATTTTGTGACAAGTGCCAGAGCAACACACACAACACTAAGGAGTGCCAGAGGAGATAAAAATGAACACCTTTGTAACATTACAGAAGACGAAATTGTGGTATGCTGTATATTTCTTATTGATAATAATATTGTTTAATATTATTAATATTATATTATTATATATATTAAAAAATATATTAAAAATCAAATATATTTAAAATTTGTTACAAAAAATCACATTATAAAGTTTTATAAATTATTTAAAATTAAACTTATAAATCGTGGAGTCATTAGAGTTAATGTTTTCTAAAATGGCTGTAAATAATCAAAACGAATCGGTCGTAACTTCAGATATGGTCGCTAGACTAATATCTTCAAATACTGCCAGCCTTAGAGCTGAAATATTTCAATTAAAAGGTCAATTAAGTAAATTGGCATCTTCTAACTCAGTAGCTGAATATGAAATTCAGAATATAGACAATAGTATTCAGTGTGATGAACCACTAGAGGTAATCAAATCATTACCAGAGTTTTCAGGCAAAAATATTTCATATGTAAGTTGGCGTGAAGCAGCCACAAATTCAATGAGCATTTATATCAGAGGTAGTAAGAAGTATTTCTCTGCCCTAACTATTCTAAGAAATAAAATCACTGGATTAGCAAACGATGCACTTTCAAACCACGGTACTACTCAATCTTGACGCTATTCTAAGTCGTTTAGATTTTGCTTATGCCGACAAATGACCTCTACATATTATTGAACAAGAGTTAAGTATACTTAGGCAAGGTAGCATGACTATTGTTGACTATTATAATGAAGTAAATAAAAAACTGACTCTTCTTATTAATAAAACTATAATGACACATGGATATGATTCAAATATTACTAAGGAAATAAACAATAGAAATAGACAGAACGCACTACGAATATTTATCACAGTAATCCTGCACAGTTATCAAATATTCTTTTTTCACTCTCACCAGAAGATTTGCCAAATGCTTTAGCGAAAGCTCAAGAGCTTGAATCAAATAATTTAAGAGCAAGTTTTGCCTTTCAATTTTCAAGAAATTATTCATATCAACAACAGACTAAACCAAATCATCTACGTTATCAAATTAAAACAAAAAATAATAATTTTTTTAACTCAAATTATAATCAAAGAACTTTTCAACCAAAACCAGAACCAATGGATGTCGACATATCAATTCAAAATCAAGCTAGACCACAACATTTCAATAATAATAATAATTTCCAAAATTTTAATGAAAACAGATATAATAGGAATTATCCTATTCAACAACAATTTAGACATAATAATCATTTTATGGCACCAAAAAAAAGACCAATAGAAAGTACTCAAAGTAGTGGACGGCCACAACAAAAAACACAAAGAATCAACAATTTGAATGAAACTGCTTTTCTCGGCAAAGGTTTTCCTTACCACACATATACAGAACAAGCGACCAAACCGGTCGAAGGTTTAGAATTTTAATAGACACAGGAGCTACTAGTTGTTATTGCTCACCTAACATACTGTTACGTTTATTCTAACGCTTCGTTCGATAACACTGGATTCTGATAAGTGAATAATATTAAACTTGTATTAATTATAACCGTTATTTATCTTCTTAAACACACACAACTTTATTGCTTAAAATAACCAACTTCCTATTCTCTTAAAATTAACCAAACCTATTTAAAAACTTATTTACTATCTAACTGACATAATTCAAAATTATCTCAGTTAACTTAAATCGATTTGTATCTTCGTAACAATACTAACAAAAAGATATAAATTATCAATAAATAAAAGAGTAAGGACAGTGAATGGTTATAGTATAATAACTCATTACTCAGAAGTAATGATATTTGGAATTAAAGAAATTTTTTACGAATTAGAAGGACTAGAATCAGATTTACTAATAGGTTTTAATCTCTTAAAAAAAGCCGGAATTACTCTAAACTTAAATGATGAAATACTTATACATAAGAATAAACAAGAAAAATTATATATAAAAGATATGTCAAGTGATATATCTACATATGATTTAATTGAGGATAATAAAAATATTTAAGATCAAAAAGAACTGGAACTCATAAATAATTCTTAATTGGAATTAAATAACATTAGAATTAAAGAAAGAGAACAAGTTTCAATATTAAGCAATAAAGTAATACGAGAGATAGAAAGAACACATTCAAATATAAACATTAATGTACCATTTAGAACAGATATACGAGCTGAGATTCGCACAACTGTTGGAACCCCAATATGGAGTAAACAGTATCCATACCCATTTTCAGCTAATTCGTTTGTAAACAATGAAATACAAAATCTTTTAAATAATAATATAATAAGGCCAAGTAAAAGTCCTTATAATTCACCTATATGGGTCGTACCTAAAAAAGGTATAGATGAGAATGGTATTCAAAAACAAAGGCTCGTAATTGATTATAAAAAATTAAATGAAGCAACGATCACAGATCGTTACCCAATTCCAGAAACTGAAGTAATTCTTTCAAATTTAGGTACTTCAAAATACTTTTCAACTATAGATTTAGAATCAGGCTTTCATCAAATATTAATGAAAGAAGCCGATATAGAAAAACTGCTTTCTCAGTAAATAATGGAAAGTATGAATATATAAGAATGCCATTTGGATTGAAAAATGCGCCAAGCATATTTCAAAGAGCAATGGATAATATTTTAAGAGAATATATTGGTAAATTTTGTCATGTCTATATTGACGACATAATTATTTACTCCAATGATTTAAATGATCATTGTTAAGACATTTACAAACATATTTATTTTATTTAATTTATTTATTTTAATTTCATTTGAATTAATGTTAAATACTAATTTCTATTTACCACTTGCGCACTTCAACCGATAAAAAACTCATCTCAAATTAACTATATGGCAACGCTTGCCTTTACTTCTTTTAATACGGTTGTGCAATGCACTTTTGCCTTTGGTTTCTTTCTTTTTACTTTACTCGCGAACAAAGACGGTCGGTTCGGTGAAGTGCGCAAGTGGCAATTGAACTTAAGAAATTAATTTTGAATAAAATAGAAATAATGAAATCATAGATCCCGTTTTTAATTTTGAAATAATAAAAAAAAACTTTAAAAACTATTAAAGTTTTCTTCATGGCGCCCGAGCAGGGACTATTTTAAATTGTTTTTTTTTTTAAAAGTGTTTTTTTAAATCTGTTTTTTATCGTGAGTGTTTTTATTTGTAAAAAACAATTATCATTGCCACGCGGTCCACGTTTCTTTTTTTATTAATTATAAACGGTACTGGCACCGCATCGCAAATTCATCAATACCGCTATCCAAATCCGCAACGGTGCTTTACGGACCACGTTTATCATCTTATTAAATAAACGGCACTGGTACCGTAAAATAATTTCACCGGTTTGCTGTATCACCACATCGCTGCCAAAATCCGCAACGGTGCTTTACGGACCACGTTTATCATTTTCTGGAAATAAACGGCACTGGTACCGTAAAATAATTTCACCGGTTTGCTGTATCACCACATCGCTGCCAAAATCCGCAACGGTGCTTTACGGACCACGTTTATCATTTTCTGGAAATAAACGGCACTGGTACCGTAAAATAATTTCACCGGTTTGCTGTGTCACCACATCGCTGCCAAAATCCGCAACGGTGCTTCACGGACCACGTTTATCATTTTCTGGAAATAAACGGCACTGGTACCGTAAAATAATTTCACCGATTTGCTGTGTCATCACATCGCTGCCAAAAGCCGCAACGGTGCTTTACGGACCACGTTTATCATTTTTCGTAAATAAACGGCACTGGTACCGTAAAATAATTTCACCGGTTTGCTGTGTCACAACATCGCTGCCAAAATCCGCAACGGTGCTTCACGGACCACGTTTATCATTTTCTGGAAATAAACGGCACTGGTACCGTAAAATAATTTCACCGATTTGCTGTGTCATCACATCGCTGCCAAAAGCCGCAACGGTGCTTTACGGACCACGTTTATCATCTTATTAAATAAACGGTACTGTTACTGCTGTTTCACCAAAATCGCTGTTCTTCAAATTTTCCAATCAATAGACTGTTGCTGTAATAGGAGACCAAAGGATTGTCAGGTAATAGAAATGTAGATGAGGGACAGTGCAAAATCACCGCAAGCATAACAATTTTCCTTCATTATAGAATCCTAACAGCACTGCCATCTGCATTCTCTCTTTTTTTGATTACAAGTACATTGCATTATATTAACAAAAAATATAATATACATTATTAACATTATATTGAATTATATATTAACAATAAATAAAAAATATATCATTTACATTATACTGCATTCTATTAACAACGAATATAAACGAAATATACAATACAGCTAAACGTGAAGCACGTCGATTCATTTAGTACAAAATATTTTTCTCTTTTGTTGTTACTTGTAATTATTTATTTTCTGAAATGCCTACTAAAAAGCGATCACAGTCTTTGCAATCTCCAAAGGGGGTAGAAACCTTGATCCATAATCGAGAAGCAGTAGTTGCCGACATTTTAAGGTTAAAGGCAAACTTACTAGAAGGCAATGTTGCAAAAAGTCCTAGTGAACTAGAGTGTAGATTGGAAATACTTGACTCTTACATTGACAAAGCGATGCAATACCAGAGCAAAATATTTGACCTGGATCCTACTGATGACTATAGGGCTGTTTTAGAAGATATTTGTGTTTCAACTAAATCCTTGTTTTTACAAAAGTTGAAAAAACATCGCCTTGTTAGCGCCCCTGCAATCTCGCACCACTGTGGTCGACCGCAATCGAAGTTGCCAAGCATGCGACTACCAAAATTCAGCGGCAAATACTGTGAATATAAAAATTTCATTAGTTTGTTTGAAAGCCTTGTTCATAGTGATGAAACTCTTACGGACATTGAAAAATTCAACCATTTACTGTCATGTTTGTCAGATGAAGCTCTTGGTACTGTGAAGGCCTTTCAAGTCACTGAGAGGAATTACCCAAAAGCGTTAGCCAGTCTTAGGAAGGTGTACGACAACAATTGTCTCATTTTTTCCGACAATATTAGTAAGCTTTTCGATCTCCCAGTAATTCACAAACCGTCTGCTGCATCTTTGCGCACTACAATTGGCACTGTGTCTGCCATCTATGATTCCCTTCTTTCAATAGGAGATGATAAGAATATCACCAATGCAATTCTTATTCATTTAGTCATGCAAAAGGTGGATTCAGTCACAAAATCAAAATGGGAAGAACAGCTGGACTACAACACTTTGCCATTATGGAGTGACTGTGAAGCAGCTCTTAATAAAAGGTTCCAACATCTATCAGCGGACGAGACCTCTTCTACAAAGCATAAAAAATCAGTGCCAGAGTGTGACCAAAAACCCGGTGTTAAACGGGACAAACGCAGCTTTAAATCCTCCTTTGTCTGCAACAAGCTGAATCAATCCAATGATCCCAAATGCGTATATTGTATGTCTAATATCCATATGATAACGAAGTGTACATCATTTGCTGAATTGCCTGTGTCACAACGGTTCGACGCAGTCAAGGCAATTCCAGCGTGCATAAACTGTTTAAAAAAAGGGCATTCTGTTTCAGCATGTAAATCATCACGTTGCAGAGTGTGTGCGGGACAACATCACACACTACTGCACAAATACACTCCAATCATCCCTCACGCAACTGTAAGTTCTGATTCCGATCGCGTTTTTGTAAATCATAGTGCTACTAAGTGCGACCAGGTAATTTTGGCGACAGCACTAGTTACTGTAAAGAGTAAGTCTGGAGAGTACCGAACAGCCAGAGCCTTACTTGATTCCGGTTCTCAAACAAATTTCATGACCGAGGAGCTTGCACAACTATTGCAGTTAAGAAGGGAAGATGGATGCCTTAATTTAATTGGAATTGGTAAGATAAATACCACAGTTAAGCATAAGTTACATGCGACTGTGAGATCGCGAGTCAATTCTCATGAATTCTCAGCCGATTTTTGGGTATTGCGAACAATATCCACCTACCAACCAAATCATAATATATCTACCGCCAGTTGGAAGATTCCGGCAAACATTGAGCTTGCTGATCCATATTTCTACAAGTCACAAAGAATTGATCTTCTTCTTGGTGCTGAAACGTTTTTCGAACTTCTATCAGTCGGACAAATAAAACAAAGTCCGAATCTCCCCACGCTGCAGAAAACATTACTTGGCTGGACTGTGTCTGGAAAATATCAAAGCAATAGAAATGTTGAGCCCCATGCTAATGCCTTAACTGTTTCACAAGATGATGACACTGTAGTTAGCTCATTGTTGCAAAAATTTTGGGAACTTGAAGAAATTCCCAATAGTGAAAAAACCGCCACGCTCATACCTGAGCACAAACTTTGCGAGGATAAATTCTTGTCGTCAGTGCAACGCTTACCATCGGGGCGATTCAAAGTTTCTCTTCCTTTCAAGTCTGATTCCCGCAACCTTGGGCTATCATTTGAGACAGCTAAGCGTCGTTTCTTGTCACTAGAGCGTAGACTTTCTAAAGATGCTGCTCTGCATGATTTATATATGGACTTTATGAAAGAATACGTAAATCTAGGTCACATGACTTTATCAACTCGCAACTTCTCTGTATCTCCCCACTACTTCATACCACATCAGTGCGTATTAAGACCACAAAGTACATCTACAAAACTTCGTGTAGTCTTCGATGCTTCTTCGAGAACATCAACTCAACTGTCATTAAACGACATATTACTGGTGGGTCCGACGATACAAGAAGAATTGTACACAATGTTGCTCCGTTTCCGTATGCATAAATATGCATTAACTGCTGACATTACTAAAATGTACCGTCAAGTTTTGATTGACGAGGCAGATCGCGACTTTCAACTCATTCTGTGGAGGGAAAGTCCAAACGAAGAATTGAAGACTTACCAATTGAACACTGTGACATACGGAACATCCTCTGCACCATTTTTAGCAACTCGATGTTTACGCCATCTAAGTGATCTCAATCAATCAACGCTTCCAATTGGTTCCAATGTTATTCGAACCGACTTCTATGTTGATGACTTGCTGACAGGTGCAGATTCATTTAATGAACTCGAAACAATTCGAAGGCAAGTCACCCAAATTCTGGAGACAGCTGGGTTCCAGTTAGCCAAATGGTTCTCAAACCACCCCACCTATCAGGACGATAAGCAGTTGAAAAAATCATTGAATATAACCGATATTGATACAACGAAAGCACTAGGCATACAGTGGCATACCACAAAAGATGTGTTTAGGTTTCAGTTGGACGACACTTACCTAAATTTGCGTGCAACAAAAAGAAATATCTTATCGATATCAGCTCGTCTATTCGACCCCCTTGGCTTATTATGCCCAATTGTTGTGAAAGCAAAAATTTTATTGCAAGAATTGTGGTTACAGAAACTTGACTGGGACGAATCCATACCCATGCGTCTTGACACTGCTTGGCAGGCCTTTAAGAATGACTTGAAACAGTTAAACTTAATTTCAATTCCGCGATATGTTAATTTGCATTTTAATGTTAAATGCCAAATTCATGGTTTCGCTGATGCATCAGTGCGAGCATATGGCTGCTGTCTATACGTAAGATGTGAAACGTCAAATGGTTTCAAGTGTGAGTTGCTTACTGCTAAATCAAAAGTTGCTCCTCTGAAAACCAAATCTTTACCTCGGTTAGAGTTATGCGCTGCACATCTGCTTGCTAAATTGTGGAATAGAATCCGTGTAATGTTCCATCACAACATCGACGAGGTAGTTTTTTGGACCGATTCAACAATCACACTACATTGGATCAAAACGCATCCGTCAACACTTTCAACATTCGTGGCGAACAGGGTTTCAGAGATACAAGAATGGTCAACTAATATAACATGGCGACACGTGCAGTCACAGCACAATCCTGCTGACATAGTATCCAGAGGATGTAACGTTACTGAACTAGTCAGTTCAATTTGGCAAACTGGGCCTGAATACCTGTCGCAAGATGTTGCCAAGTGGCCAATTAAAATAGCGCCAATAATCACTTCGGATCAAGAATCTCTGGAAACAAGGAAAACAAAAGCTGTGTTTATCGTATCGGAAGAACCCTCAAACGCAATTTTGAAGTTAGTCGGTACTCAGTCATAATACATGAAGCTCATGCGAATTGTTGCGTATATACTCCGATTCATAAATCGCGCTAGGAAATGTCAAAAAGAGATATCACTAATCCTAAGTGTCAAAGAATTAAATGGCGCTTTCTTAAAGGTCGTGGAACAGGTTCAAAAAAATGCATTTCAAGATGAGATATATGCACTGATGAAGAAACAGCTGTTAAAACCAGGCATGCAGAAACTTACTCCATTTCTGCACGATACAAATTGTGGCCCCAATAAAGTAACACTGTTACGTGTGGGAGGCCGGTTGCTCAATGCCCCAATTAGCCATGATTCCAAGTTTCCACTCCTCATGCCAAAAAATTGCCATTTTATTAATATCTACTTAAGGCATCTACATTTAAATAATTGTCATGCAGGTCCCAAGGCGTTAGGGTCAATTTTGCGGCAAAAGATATGGCTTGTTAACGCGAAAGCAGCTTGCAGTAAAACTGTAAGAAGTTGCACACATTGCTTTCGCTATAAACCGAAACTTCTGACTCAAATAATGGGAAATTTGCCAACTGATCGAGTCACAGCAACGCGTCCTTTTTTGATTTCAGGTGTTGATTTTTGTGGTCCCATGTATACAACATTAAAAATACGTGGTCGACCACCAGTTAAAACATACATTGCCGTTTTCGTTTGCTTCACGTCTAAGGCTGTACATTTTGAACTAGTCTCTAATTTAACTTCTAATTGTTTTATTCTTTGTCTTAAAAGGTTCGTGGGACGGAGAGGATTGCCAGATCGAATTTACTGCGACAACGCAACAAATTTCGTGGGAGCCTGCCGAGAGCTGAAAGAACTGCAACAAACGTTCAAAGTACAGAAAGACCAGCTGGTGTCATATGCTGCACAAGAGGGAATCGAGTTTGTCTTCATACCGCCTCGCGCACCACATTTCGGAGGATTGTGGGAAGCCGCCGTCAAGTCCGCGAAACATCTATTACTTCGAACAGCGGGCAGCGCAATGCTAACCAACGAGGAACTGCAAACATTGGTAATTCAGGTGGAAGCCGTTCTCAATTCAAGACCAATCGAACCTCTCAGCCAAGATCCAAACGACGGTCAAGCACTAACACCAGCACATCTACTAATAGGGGATTCTCTGCGCACGCTGCCGCAAGAATCAACGCTCGACGTGCAAAACAGCAATCTGAATTATGCGCAGAGATGGCGGCTGCTATGCGAGCTCAAACGCAGATTCTGGCGGGCCTGGTCCAAGGACTATATCCTCAACTTGCAAACAAAAACCAAATGGATCTTGGAACAGCCGAACGTAGCAGTCGGCCGTCTCGTCGTTGTCCACGAAGACAATCTTCCCCCTCACCAATGGTTGATCGGCAGGGTCCAAGGTACGGTAGTCGGGAGC